AAATCCCAATTTAAATCGTTCTCTTCTGGAAATTGCACTTTGTTTGCTTTGGTAGCCATCTCTCCTCGTCTCCACGACCCTTGCACCCCAATACATTTTCTTCGTAGTTTCTGTCATGTTCTAACAATGTCATATCGATTCACTGCGCACAGACGCTAGCGCACCTATATAGGTAATGTGACATCACATGCAGCTAACTTCGCATTGGAAGGCATACACCGCACCATGACTGAACCTTGTAACGCATGTTAGGGTTGGTGAAAGTACTCAATCCGTTTCGATCCGCTTTTCTACTATAAATAACCGCGGTCACCTCATCCGATTCATGTGTTCACGTCACAAGATGTGCACTAACGTAGACTCGTCTACCTTCCTATCATTGATGCTGTTCAAACCGGACTATCCCCTGTATGTCATATCATCATGGGCTAGTAGCAAGATCACCGATACGGCCCTTTGTAAACGAAGAATCATTGTTTAGAGGCAAAGCTGTCTAATGCGAGTCTTAATGTACTTTCCAGACGTCATACTAAGATTGAGAAAGAAACGAAGTCTCGTGCAATGCACTCTTTGTTTACTGGATGGTGTTAAAAAAAGAATCAAAGGCCCTTTTCAGGCCACTCATATGTATGGAAAAGATGATCTTGCCTAAAACTTTTAGTCAGTTTGTAGAGTTGTTTATTTGGTATATATATATATATATATATATATATATATATATATATATATATATATATATATATATATATATATATATATATATATGTGTGTGTGTGTGTGTGTGTGTGTCCATGTTTACTTGGTATATTTATGCAGATATATATATATATATATATATATATATATATATATATGTGTGTGTGTGTGTGTGTGTGTGTGTGTGTGTGTGTGTGTGTGACCAACCGTTTCTCTATGTCTATGTCTCTACTGTGTTTTCCCTAGAGTAGCGCGCATTCAGGTCAGCCCCTTCCAACACTGTTCCTCTCGAATGAGGTTAGCCCTTTGCATCACTTTGTCATAGTTTCCCCAGTGTCCAGTACCATGATGTCACCCCTGTTAAAAATAATATTGTCCCTAGACAGTCCCAATATATTGTCACTAAACAATGCCTATGTTACATTTCCCTTATCCTTAGAGTATCCAACCCATATTGAATTTCCCTTGGCCGCAGGGTACAACACCTCTCTTTTAACATTAAAATCCTATTGTCCGTGGGGTATCCCCAATCATTATTATCGTCAACATGAAAGGAACAGCGTAATGTTAAGTTTCGTCATGCCCCATATATCTTCCACGTGTTAAACCAATATGGCGTAATGTTAATTCCCGTTTGCTCCGCAAGTGTCCTACATTACTAATATTTAGTTTTCTATTAAAAAATGTGTCGTTTATTTACAAAGCGTTTATTTGGTATTCTTGATAATGTTGACAAATTATTTCAAAAGAATAACAAATATCAAGCATAAATAGATTACTTGATTATTGCCACTCTTTCAGTCAAAGTACAGAGGATTTTTAAAAGGATTCTTTGGTTTTTTCTTTGGTTGTTTTTCTTTTTCTTTTTTCTGCCTGTAATTCATTCAAGTTTTACTTACTTGTAAAATTTCAGGTGTAAATGGTAGAGGTAAAAAAACACTGTAAAATTGTATAAATACAAGAAAATTAAGGTTGTCTGATAATTAAAATTGGTCAAACATCGCGTTGATGTATAAAATGGAAACATACGATTAGAATGTGTAGAATCGTAAAACTCAAGCAGGTAAGCTTCAAAATGTGAAATTGAAAAAATATGTAATAAGGAAATTTTTCATAACGGATACTTCATACCTTAAAAACAATATTAATAATAGCGCAGATGCAAATAATTATATCTGAGGTCTGGGGTTTATTTCGAAACACTAAGGGCAGGATTCACCACATCACGTAACCCCAATATTCTAAAACTATAGATTATATCTTTAATAAAAAGATCAAATGATTAAACATTAGGATTAATTGAATACACCTAGTAGATATCATAAAATTACACCACTAAAATATCTGGCTTTGTTTCTGTTCCTAAAATATAGCAATAACATTTGCTATGTAAAGAGAGACAAATAAGCATGAATTCAGAGTTTTCTCAAATGAGTAGCCTCCCCTATATTAATTAGCTGAATATTGGCAATACACAACAAAATAATAAATGTAATACCTCCATTTCCTGACAGAAAGTTTCCACTTTTCGATTTCATCATTTTTGTTATATATATATATATATATATATATATATATATATATATATATATATATATATATATATATATATATATATATATATATATATATATATATATATATATATATATTAAAATGCAATAGTTTGGTATGTTTCTTTTCAGTTGCCATTGTATATTATACTGCATAGGAGAAGCTAATGATGGTGGCTCAGATATCTTCAGTAAACAATAATGTCTACCTCTGAAATGTTATGCAGTTTCAATGGATAGTTCCAGGACACAAAAATATTCCTTTTACATAATGCCAGTATAAATTCCACAGGTAAGTAATTTCAAACGTCGCGTTGCACTGGAATGGATAATTTGTATGTTTACATGTCAAATATACGTTTACATTCTTCAAATGCGATAATGTAGGAAGGACAATAAAGGTATTTCACCAATAATTTTCTCCATTTCAGACGTTAGTGCCCAGTTAAGACGAAGAAGAAGAAGAAGAAGAAGAAGAAGAAGAAGAAGAAGAAGAAGAAGAAGAAGAAGAAGAAGAAGAAGAAGAAGAAGAAGAAGAAGAAGAAGAAGAGCAACATCAGTGATTATTTGTAATATAGGAGGAAACTGGCCCATGATACATATCCATACATCACCCGGTAGAAAAAAATGTTATGGTGTAAATAAAAAAAACATAATGCATTTATAAGAAGTAATATATATGAAAGTAAAAATTACTACTTTTATTGGAGATAGGTGAGATACACGCATATATTGAACAGTAATCGATCTACGGAATTAGAGGTCTCCCTAAAATACGTGAGGAGCAGGATTTGTGATATTGATCTAAAGTCTCATGTAGCAGGAGTCATTGATAAAAGGATTTCTCTAATCTTTAAGGCTTTTGTTCTAAACAATGCTATATTTGAATCAAAATTTTACTAGTATCTAAACGGACTTAAATTGTTTTAAAGTTTGATTTTATATGCAAAGCTGGTTAAGTATTTTCTTCGTATTTCTCCATATAGAAGACAAGCAGTAATAAAATTCATTTTTGATAAAAGGCTACTTTTTGTTTAAATTCCTATTGCTTTTTCTTGTTTCTTGTAAGAGAGTTATACATATTCCTATACAATTTGTAATCTTCAAGTGATTCCGTTGTACGGTTTATCTAAACTGTTTTAGATATTTTAAGGCTATGCTTTTGGCGTTTGGGCAATTTGTATCAAAACTCAGCCAACATTTAAGTATTCTTCGTGGAGATGTCACAGCTAGAATGTGCTCTATATTGATTGTTTTCATTGTGCTTGCTGTATCATCGTAGATAATAGTAATTGTTACGACACATTCATTAAGTATGCTATTGATTATATCATTTATAATCATGCCCATATTTTCAGATAACAGATCTTAGAAACTGGATAAAAGGCAGACCTTTTTCTTTGTTCCATATATATTTATTTGTTTCGTTACCCTAATAGACACTAACAGCCTTTTGCTCGTTTACCCATGTCAAGAAGTGAAAATACAATGGCATGTACCTTGATTCCAATCTATCTTCTATGTCAAAAGAGCATATATTTTTAAAACACATACGTCTAGTAAGGCATAATCAACTTTTGAGGCCGAATTGCCATGCAGACACGTAAATTTCCCTATCCCATTATATGATCCACATCTATCATTAGCGATTCTCTATCCAGTCATTTGGCATAGTTGTAAAAAATTTTCTCCGGTGTGATTTATCTCCCTTAGCCAGATCACACATTACGTCATCTTATATATAATTAAAGTCATGATGTTGTTCAGTAATACTGTCATCTTTGATAAAATCTGGCTTTGTTCTAGCATAGGCATTAAAATTAACTGCAATTATTATTATTATATGGTCAGCACATTGAATTTTTAGGTGAGCTAGCTCATTTTCTACCACTATACATATACATTTTCTTCAGAATGAATAAAAGAGTATTCGTATGACTAATAGACAAAACCGAACAACTAACCAAATATATTTTGTGAGGTACCTTTTCTCTAGATATATTAAAATGCTTGAAGCGGGGTTTACGAACATATACCGAGATCCTGTCACCCACACCCAATTTCTTTTAGCAGGATGGGATTTAACTCTGATGCTATCAAAGTTTTTGCAACCTTAAAACTGATCGTTAGTTCTGCACATGTATCAGCAAAGTCTTGTATATAAAATTTTTAAACATAATTAATAAAATGTGACCTCCCTTCTCTTGAGCGTTTCTCATTAAAAACAAATATATTCCATTCCAAACAACCTAGCACAGAAGAAGAACCGTTCTCATATACGTTTGGCATGCCTCGGCCAGAGTCTTATCTTTTGTTTACAGGAACAGCGTCAAATACATACATGTAACCGTCTAATATTAGCTGGTCATATTTGTAGAATGTTTTTTTTTTCGTCTTCCCTTGTTCAATAGCTTTTATCAATGTCGCAGAGAGACTAGCACTAGCTTTTCTCACTCTGAATGGAAAATCTTCATCTACATGTACGTTAACAAGTCTCCTAGCTGTTGTTGTGTTTTAGTTTTCAGACGTGGTCCTAGTGGCGGTTTCAAGGGCTTATTTCCTTGTTTCTCTATAGCGCTATTTAGATATTTCTCTTTCTCTCTCTCTCATTATTAAATCCTATCTAAACACACGGTCACATATGATTATATGCACGACTAGTTCTATTGATTTTGTGGTATGTATGCTTAATATCTAGCGTATGCGTTTGTGCATGCAGACAATGTGGCTTCATTTCTCAGTAACCGCTCCGGTGGCTTAGTGGTTAGAGCGTCCGCCTCGGATGCGAGAGGTCGTGCGTTCAGTCACCGGTCGAGTCATACCAAAGACTTACTAAAATGGTACTAAGAGCTACCTTGCTTGGCGCTCAGCATTAAGAGATTAGTGTTAGGACTGGTTAGCCTGGTGTCAGGATAATGTGACTGGGTGGGACATCATGTTACATGTCTGCGGCATGATGCCCAAGTACCAGACATCACTATAAACTGCCACACTGCAGACATCAAAGCGATATGACTGAATAATTGTTAAAGCTACGTTATAATCATAATCACATCACTTCACATCATTTCTCAGTAGCGGTGGAATTATAAATGGTCTAATCTGTTTGACGCTATTCTCTCTCTTGATCGAGATGATGTTGGGGTTGGTGCGATACAGTCAAGACCATAATGTCAATAGGATTTGAATCATAGTTTTATTGTTCGTTTATATATATATATATATATATATATATATATATATATATATATATATATATATATATATATATATATATATATATATATATATATATATATATATAAATTTCATTTAATGTTATCGGGCATCCACCTGCATTGGCACTTTCCGCAATGTATGATGTGTGATTGTAATTGTCTTCATTAACTACTGTCTTGATTCTGTAATATGAATCAGAAATGACCGTGTATTTAGATGAATTACCTTCTGGGTATATCGAACATTAAGTTCCATCCACCTTTTAGGGATGCGCTTATTCGAGAGTGCATTCGTGGAGGTGATGCGTGTAGGCAATGAGATGCAACCTTTTAAGTTCTTGGTATGTGACGAATTGAAAATTGTCAAACTAGTATGAAAATTGTCTTGTTTCTTATCGGGGAAAATGGGTGGGCTTTGTCATTCTGTGCCATTTGAATCTTTGGATAATGAAAGCAAACACTTATTTTTCAAAATAGTGAAGATCGCGTGATATGCGCATATCGTTAGCGAATTTTCTTACGAAATAATAATTTTAACAGTTTTTTTTTCTAATACTGTGACTTAGCAATTAAATTTTAGAATATACTGCATATTATATCATTAGGTTTGAGGGATGAAATGATTCCTGGCAAGAAGTCATAGTGAGATTGAATTGAATATATACATGATTATATAAATTAATTAAACTAAGAACAAAGTTTCAGAAAACGAATGTTGATATTTCACAGTACAGTTTTTATTGCATGCAAATATGCCCTTATAGGAACCATAACAATACCAGAAGAACCCATATGTATTTAATATCTGTATATTCTCGTTTTCTCGTATATGTCAGGTACTATCGTCGGAACCCGCATCTTTTAGAACAACTCAATATCAGTTTAACCCGCATTATGATATGTAGCTTGAACTTTATTAAAATAAACACAGCATTCTATATATTTAACAGAGGACTGTGTGAGTACTAGAGTAGATGAAACAGTGCCTTGAATGACAGATATTTTGAGTGATTTTGTATGCAAAGAAAACACGGTAAGATGGTATTTTTTCATTCAGTATAGGTACAAATAGAAGGTATGTTAGCTAAATTTGCCAGTTGTAGACATTATATTGTACATATTTTTGGTATTATTGGATGTTAATTATGGTTTATTATAGCGAACTGAGTTTTACCAACGGAGTCTATTTGCGACGTTAAAATCGTCTTTACTTTCTTAAATCCTTTATTTGACAATGACAATAACCTATCGAAAAGCAGCGTTAAATTGTCATTTTGTGTCATGGAGTGTGAACTGTGTCAATTTTTCCGACATTAAATCAATGATTTTGTTGCTGAAAGTTTGATGTCAAATGGGTCAGAATGTGTATCACACATGTGTTAGAATTTTTGTTACTATCCAGAACACTGTTCAATACATTCTATATAACTACTGTCTTGCCCTATTACCATCTCAAAATAAAGTATGTTACAAATTATAGTTTTGTTATATCAGTATAGTGTGTTTTAACATACTAGGATGTTTACAGGGTAAAGTATGACATTCTTACACGTGCATGTCATTGGGTGTCATTTAATCATAGTTTCTTCCTTGTACGTTGCTTAATTTTACATGTGTTGCCTTTTTGATGTATAAATAGTAACATTCTATTTCAAATTTTGTTTCATGCCTTCGAATTCTTCATTATAGTGTTTATAAAGTGTAATTGTATAGTTGATTGTCGAATACGTTCCCATATGACCAATCAAATTATACATGCATCTTGCGAACAGCGGTCGTACATGATTAAAAAATGTACATGGATATATTACATCATGCGACTGGCGTATTCTTTGGAATTTCATATAAGCAAAATTGACAAAACTAGGAAACTGTAACATTTATATACAAATGAAAATATACATCCGATTTAAGGTTTCGTTTCATTAGAGTCATTAGTTACTAATTGAAAATTATCATCATGAAAAAATAACGTTGCAATCCTTACTACATCATGAGTGCTTTCCATGGACAGTTTTATCCTTGCTTCAGTATTAGTGCATTTATGGGGTCGTTGTAATCCTTGCTACAGTATGAGTGCTGTTATTGGACATTATAATTCTTGATACAGTATGAGTGTTGTCATTGGACATTAAAAACCTTGATACAGTATGAGTGCTGTCATTGGACATTGTAATCCTTGCTGCAGTATGATTGCTGTCATTGGACATTACAATCATTGATACAGCATGAGTGCTGTCATTGGACATTCTAATCCTTGACACAGTATGAGTGATGTTATTGGACATTATAATCCTTGACACAGTATGAGTGCTGTTATTGGACATTATAATCCTTGATACAGTATGAGTGATGTTATTGGACATTGTAATCCTTACTGCAGTATGATTGCTGTCATTGGACATTATAATCCTTGATACAGTATGAGTGCTGTTATTGGACATTATAATCCTTGACACAGTATGAGTGCTGTTATTGGACATTATAATCCTTGATACAGTATGAGTGATGTTATTGGACATTATAATCCTTGATACAGTATGAGAGCTGTCATTGGACATTGTAATTCTTGCTGCAGTATGAGTGCTGTCATTTGACATTGTAATCCTTGTTAGAGTATGAGTTCTGTCATTGGACATTGTAATCCTTACTACAGTATGAGTGCTCTCATTGGACATTAAAATAATAAAATATAATAGAGACAAACAGTCATACATACAATTATAGTGTTATAAAAGATATACAATTTCACAATTGAAAAGAAAATTATACAATTTTATATAATACATTGGTATTAAGGCCATTAGGATACAAAGTATCTAATTTATGTATCCAATAAGTCTCTTTTATAAGTCTGTTCATGTGTCCATGCACAATATCTATTGGCATGAAAGAAAAATCGAGTGGACAGTGATTATGGGCGTTAAAATGTGTAGAAATGTTAAATGAAAACTGAGGATCTTTATAATTTTTAATATGAAAGCGATGACTATTCATTCTTTTAGAAACTTGTTGAAGTGTTTGTCCAACATATTGCATGTTAAATTTTTGACAGGGTATCAAATAAATCACGTTAGTTGATATGCAGTTAGTGTTAAAACGTAGGGAAAATGTCTCTTTTGTGTTAGCGCTACTAAAAAAATTACTTTCTCTTATGTTTGCACATTGAGAGCATCGATGTCTATTACATTTAGATGACGAGAATTGTCCTTTTTTATTTTTTTTTTCTGTATGTTTAGTTCTAATTAAAAAATCTTGCAAATTCTTGGGTCTCTTATAAGCAACAATAGGCTTATTGTTGTAAAGGGATTTTACGCTGTTTTTATTTGATAAGTTTAGGAGACTCCAATATTTATTAATTATAAGACCTATATTAGGTAATGAAGGATTGTATTGTATTGTAAAAGGAACTATATTTTTCTCCATTGTACAATTTGCTGTATTTAAAGCCTCATTTTGAGAAAGATTACGGGTTTTGTTCAGCGCAGAATCAATGATATGTACTGGATAATTTCTGTTTTGGAAATATGTTTTTAAATCATTCAACGGATTTTGTAATTGACAATCATATGAAATAATGCGTCGGTATCTTTTAGCCTGGCTATATGGTATACCGTTTTTACATGACATTGGATGGCATGAAGAATATTCTACATACTGGTGGATATTAGTTTCTTTGTCATGAATATTCGTAGAAATAGTGTTATCAATATGTTTAATTACATTTACATCTAAAAATGAAACATGCGTATTTGATGCAGTATAAGTAAATTTAATTGTCGGATGAAAATGATTTAGGCGATTAATGAATTTCTCCAGTTCTTCAGTTGAATGGTTCCAGATCATAAATATGTCATCTAAATATCTAAACCAGACTGATGGATTAAACTTTTCTTTGTTAAGGAAATCTTTTTCTAATTTACCCATGAAAAGAGAAGCGTATGAAGGAGCCATAGGACTACCCATTGCTGTACCCATTACTTGGATGTAAGTTTTATTATTAAATTGAAAATAATTATTTTCCAGGATAAGTTTTATTATTTTACAAATATCTTCACTAGACAGTGGGCTGTTATTATGATTGTTATCAAGAAAATATTTACACGCTTCAATACCATCTGTATGCGGAATGTTGGTATACAGTGATGCTACATCTAATGATACCAACATTGAGTTATCAGATAGCTGTGGAATAGACTTCAACTTTTTGATGAAATCATTGGTGTCTTTAATGTATGAAGGAAGTAATTTCATCAAAGGTTGTAAAACACTATCAATAAATTTGGATATATTTTCAGTATATGAATTACAACCTGATATAATTGGTCGCCCTGGATAATTTAAAGGTAAATTATGATCAAGATTTTTATGAGTTTTGAGTAATATGTAGAATTGAGGTGTGCGTATGTTAAGAGGGAAAGTATCAAATTCTTCATATATGCAATTATTAGTTTTAGCGATCTCATTAATGCATGTTGAAATTTTTGATTTAATTTCCATTGACGGGTCTTCTTTAATATGTTGGTAGTATTTTTCTTCATTTAATTGACGTTCAACTTCTTTACCATAATCTTCTTGATTCATAATAATAATAATAATATTGTTTGATTTA